GACGGCCACAATGCCTGCCTGTTTTTTAGAGATAGGGGTCTCGCTCTTGCTCAGGTTGATCTCAAACTCATGAGCTCCGCAATCCACTGGCCTCGGCCTCCCAAGTGCTGGGATTACAAGCATGAGCTACTGGGCCCAGCCATTTCTGTCAGCTCTTGACATGCATAAGACACCACCACGAATTCTCTCTCCAGCTCCCCAGCATGTATCTGTCCCCACCTTCGTGGGCAGAGTTCTGTTGCAATCTCCATCTTTTCATCCTCCTCCCCTCCCCAGCCCACCCCAGTCAGTCTTACAATGTCAGTGAGCCACCGAGCATTCTGCTTCTGGACCCCATGATTTCCATCCCGCTGATCAAACGTCAATCCTTTTCCTCATCTTCTCCGCCTCTCAGCAGCATTTGATGCCATTGGCCCCCCTCTCTCTTTGGCTTTTGTGGCACCACTTTCCCGGCTGCTCCCCGATGCCTCTGATCGTGCCTCTGGCTCCCTTACAGACTCACCCTCCTTTCCCTGACTGAGAGAGGCTGAAGAGCCTCATGCTTCAGTCCTTGTCCCTCTGCAGGTCTCATCAGCACTCTGTCCCTGGACGGGTTCTTTAGTGCCCACCTCAGTTGTCACCCACGCCTCTATGACTTGCAAATGTACCTCTCCCCCCAGACCCCGGCTCTGAACTCCAGACCTTGAGTCCAACTGCCTACCTAATATCTCCACTTGGATGTCTCGCAGGCACCCCAAACTCCACAGGTCCCAATCTCATCCTAAACTATACCTTCTTCTAGGTTTTCCCTATGTTGGTGAATGGCATGGTCATCATTCAGTTCCCCCAGCCCAAACCCTGGACTCACCCCTTCATCTCCCTCCTCCTCACCCTCCATATCACCACCTTCTGTCCATTTTGCCTTCTGACTAGCTTATGACTCCTTCTGCTTGTTCCCTGTCTACTGCCACCTTCATTGCCCACTGGGCTGCTGCAGAAGCCTCCTACCTAGACAGTAGTCACTGGGGTCTTAGCAACACAAATACAACCATGTCTAAACACTCTAGTGGGCGCCCGTTGTTCTTAGGAGAGACAGCAAAGCCTTCACGAGATGGCTCACTGAGAGTTGTGCCCCTCATTGTCATGTTTGTTCTCAGAGACTTTTTCTGACTTTGCCCGTCTCTAATCGGTATCCTCTGTGAGATGGGCTGGCCCCATGCAAGGTCTGCAAGCTTCATTTCCCAGCCTGCCTTGCTCTCTGGCTTGGGGCCAGATTCTGCCAACACAGACAGGTACCAAAGCGTCTCTCCCCTTCTCTCAGCCTCAGGTAGGGTCTCTTCTCTGAGCGACTGCATCTCTCTTAGCCCCCACTGGACAGACGTTCCCTCTGTGGTCCCAGCTCCTACCAGACAGCCCCTGTCATACTTTTCTGTGGCTGCTGTAATGAATTGCCACAAGGTATTTTTTAAAAACCAAAAAAGTATTTTTGGTTATTTCACATTATTCAAATATAAAGTGTGGCCAGCTCTTGTTAGGAAGGTAAAGACCTCCTTGTTTTACCTTCCAGGAGAGGAAAAGAGCCAAAAACTTTCACTGTGGAAAGGTTCAAATCAGAAGTTGAAGCCTAATCTGGAGTATCCTAATGCTGACATGGTGGAGTTTGCTTTAGGACTTACCAAATATTTTCTGCTTGTTTCTGAGACCATATAATATCACATTATATTACTTCATAATTCTTCAGCCTTAAATAGACATGCTATTGGGCCATCCAGAGAACTGAGAACTGCACATTTTAAAAAATGGTCACGTTCTTATCAAAAACCTAACTTACCTGTTTTCCTTGCACAGTTAATCTTAGGATGTATTTACAAAATAAAGCCTTACAAAGAGAAACAAGTCAAGCACACCTGATTACTAATTGTGAACCTAAAAAACGTATATTCTTTGTGTTTCAAATGTGACATGAGAGCATTTGAAAATTAAGAACATACACACCATAAATGATGCTTAAATGACACAAAAGGGAAGGAAAGACCTGAGCAAACAACATTCTTTTATCTTCAAGTTGCAAAACTGATCATAAAAAGTTGCTGAAATATTTTAGTTGCTTTCTACTATCGTGAAAGTTATGATTTTTCATTCAAAATGAAATAGGCGCAGAGCTCCTGTTTTCACAGGACAGAGTTTAGATGTCTTTTTATGGCAGACTATAGTAAATTATTTGGTTGTAGTCTGTCTTGCTTGAAATCCTGCATGTCATTGAACGCATCGGATCCATGTCTTCCAGTTTCATGGGGCACTGCAGCTTTCTGAGGTCCCGTGCAAACCCGGGGTAGCTGCTCTGTACCAGCTGCACATGGGACCCCGGAACCCATTTTCTACATTGCCTAGGTCTGTCCCCGCCAATCTGCACATTAGAAAAGCATAATTTTGAACCAAACTTGATAGTCATCATTTAAAAGCTAATACTTTCTGATCTTTTCTTTGTGCCAGGTACTCATTGGCATGTAATTCTGTCAAAAGCTTATCCAAGAATCAGCATTTATTATCTCTGTTTTATCGATGATGCGACGGAGGCTCAGAGAAGTTAAGTAACTTGCCCGAACTTACACAGCTAGGACCTCCTAAAGCTGGGGTTTGGATCTCCCAACTAATGCTAGACTTAGTTCTCCTAACAGTGGGTCCACACTTCTAACTCAAGATTTCTGGCACTTTCTCCCACTTGGCACAGGAGATCCTGACTGTGCCCAGCACTTGACTCCACTTCTAAGACAAAGATTCGGTGCTGTCCTTTAACTGGACCAGCAATAACTATTTCTTTAAGTTAAGAAAAGCTCCACTTCCTATTGTCAGCAATCACATAAAGTTTCACGTTTCGAATAGACCTCTCTATTATCGGGTGGGTAAAACTTTAAAATTGCCAGTAGGTACCATACTGTCACTTTATAACTCCTAAATTTTGTGCCAAGTATTAATTAAATTTTGTTCTCATAATTCTATCAGATAATTTTCAATTAATAAGACAGTGAGATTTTTACCCAGATGGTCTATGGTATTCCTATTAGAAAACAAATGATAAGAAAGCCTTCTTTTTTGTGAATGAGAGAGTTACATAAATAAAGGCTACTTCTGTGTCATCTAATAAGTCGCTACATGTGGCTGCTTAGCGTGTGAAATATGACTAGTTTGAACTAAGATGTGTTGTAAGTGTGAAATACAAACCAGAGGTATCAATTACACATTGAAATAATATTCTTGACATATTAACCTAACTCAAATGCAATTATCAAAGTTAATTTCCCCTGTTTCTTTTATCATTTTAATGTGGCTACTAGAAAACTTTTAATTCCATATATGGCTTCATATATTTCTATTGGACGATGGTGGATTAAATGACTCCTCAGAGATGAAGGAAAATATCCGTGCAAGTGGAAGCAAACAGTTCATAGCAGACAATGTATCTGTGAAAGCAATTTTCTCCAGTGATAAGGTTAAATACCTATGGGGTGACCATTGTCTCAAAGTTCTACCCTGTTAGACTGCTGCTACATTCATAAGAACCACGGGAAAAGGCAGTTCCTCATCGTGGACTGATTTTTAACTACTCATAAATGTAGACCCAGGATATCAAGAATGAGAAAACTACCAGCATTTCCTGGTAGATGGGGTGATTCTGAGCAGTGGTCACCAGTGCAGATTACTCTCTGCGATAGAGTTGATCATTCGCAGCACAGCAGTGCAAAGCCAAAGGGCACCCACGAGTTCATTACATAATTCTTGGTAGCATGAGGCCAAGTGTGTATCTGTTCTGCGGGACTGGTCGGAGGCTCTGACCGGCAGACCGAGGCGGTCAAGACGATGTTTTGACAAAGTGTGCCCTAGAGCTTGTTTGTTTGGAAAAAGACTGGCTAGCTTTCCCCCTCCTTCCCCTTTATTTTTCTCTCTCTCTCTCTCTCTCTCTCTCTCTCACTTTTTTCCCCTCTTAAACACTCTGGCATAATACTGAATGACTGTTTTTAAGTTGCCTTAGCCTTGCTTTGTGAAGAAAAAACCTGAGTATTCTTTCTCCGTAGGATGCCAGTTGTTATTTTTGGAGCAGAGGTTCTTAGCCTGAATGTCTAAATCAATTTCTGTCTTGTGAGGTCCTGATCTGTGACAGCTCTGAGTGTTCTCCACAGAGGGAAGCTGCTTTGCTCTGTGAGGAGGCGAGCAGAGACATCAGGGGACCACGCCTGAAACTCCACTGCTCTGGGTCTCAACACCAGAGCTCCTTGGCACTCAGGGACCACTCATTAGATTGTGCCCTTGGAACAGCCACAACCACATGCTGTGGGGTAGTGTGCTTTCTGTCTCTGGAGTCATGGAAAATTCTTGTCTCATTCAAAGCCAGACAGTCCGGGCTGACTCCCTTTATCTCGCGGTCTCAGGAATAGGGCTTTTCCTACTTATGTCACTTCATGGTACGTTCTGGGTCGAGATGACCTCCTTCTCCTCTTTATATGCAAGGTACCAGAGCTAAGAAAGCTGTGGCTGGAGGGTTTCTGCAGGCCAGCCAGTGGGCAGCTGGCACGGCAGAGCCACTCCCAGGGCCTCTGGGAACAACTCTCAGGACTCAAAGTTCAGAGCGCTCCCTTCTGTAACCTGTTCTTCGTGTCAGCCTACTAGACCCAAGTCGGAAACCTCCCAACTTCCCCCTCCTAACCTGTTATTCCTAGGCGTTTACATAGCTTCAGCCTGGTAAGAAACGCAAAATTAGCAACAGTTTAAAATACCGCTCTCAGCAACAAATGAGATGGCACCTGACTGTTACTCCCTCTGAGCACTGTACAGCTGAGTATTCAGGGAACAGGTGTGTGTAGAGAAAGGCCCAGGACAGTTGGGCTGACGGCAGGAGGTGGATCTAGGCAGGTACCCCATCTGTGGGCGCGGGTGGGAGCATGACCTGGCAGGTGCCAATGCCTGGCCAGCTATACATAGCCAGCCAAAGCTTCTTACAAGAGAAACCTCTTTCGGCCCCCTTCCCCGGTCCCAGCCACAGACCAGAAGACTAAATCCCCTGTTAGTTATTCAGCCTCAGACAGGAAAGCCGCTCGCTAGCTGTCCACCAGCCCGACAGGCCCGCGGCAGCCTGTCCTTCCCTCCCTTTCCCTGGGAGCGCTCCTTGTGCTTGGCCATGGTGGACATGGGGGGCCTGGACAACCTGATCGCCAACACGGCCTACCTGCAGGCCCGGAAGCCCTCGGACGGTGACAGCAAGGAGCTGCAGCGGCGGCGCCGGAGCCTGGCACTGCCCGGGCGGCAAGGCTGTGCCGAGCTGCGGCGCGCGCTGTCCCCGCACTTCCACAGCCTGTGCGAGCAGCAGCCCATCGGCCGCCGCCTCTTCCGCGACTTCCTCGCCACGGTGCCCACGTACCGAGAGGCTGTGGCCTTCCTGGAGGACGTGCAGAGCTGGGAGCTCGCTGAGGAGGGGTCCGCCAAGGACAGCGCGCTTCAGGGGCTGGTGGCCGCCTGTGCGCCTGGCCCTGCCCCGGGGCACCCGCACCCCTTCCTCAGCCCGGCTCTGGCCACCAGGTGCCAAGCAGCCACCACTGAGGACGAGCGAGCAGCCGTGGTGGCGCTGGCCAAGGCCGAGGCCATGGCCTTCCTGCAGGAGCAGCCCTTCCGAGATTTCCTGGCCAGCCCCTTCTACGACAAGTTTCTGCAGTGGAAACTCTTCGAGATGCAACCCGTGTCGGACAAGTACTTCACTGAGTTCCGCGTGCTGGGGAAAGGTGGTTTTGGGGAGGTAAGTGTCTGAATGACCAGGCTGCAAGGTCAAGCGTCAAGCATAAAACAGGGCTATGCTGCCTATTTTTTCTTTTTTTATTTTTTTAATCTCCAGGGAACCTACTTAGAGCTAATTTCAGAGCCATGTGGAGCATTCCCAGCCCACTCTCCCCACCTCCCTTCCTTCTGGTCACCACCTCAAATAAAACAAGTGGCAAGAGAGAGAAGCACAGTGTGGACGTGGCCAAGAAGCTCTTTCACGGGGTTTAGTCAGAAACATGCTGGAGAGTGACAGCCACATGTGATGGAAGCTCTCTCTTCCCCTTAGCTGTGGTGATGGAGGCAATTGGAGAAAAAAGGATATCTAAGAAAATACTCATCTTGAGGAAAAGTTGAGAACCTGTTTTGAACCACTGCTGGGACCAGCTCTTTCTTTTTTTAAGTAAAACACGTTTTGAGATAAAATTGACATAACACAAAACGAACCATTAACCATTAAAGAATGTACAATTACGTGGGGTTTTGCACCTTTACGATGTTGTGTAACCACCACCTCTGTCTAGATCCAAGACATGTCATCACCCCTGTGCCGTTCCCCGTCCCTCCTTAACCTCCTGCAGCCTCGGCAACAGCACGTCTGTGTTCTGTGTCTGGATTTGCCTATGCTGAAGGTTTCAGACAGTACGTGACTTCTTGCGTCTAGATTCTTCCGCACAGCGTGTCTTGGAGGTTCATCCACGCTCTATATATCAGTGCTTATTCCTTTTCATGGCTGCATAATGTTCTATTGTATAGATATGCCACATTTTATTTATTCATCTGTGGAATGGGTTGGTTCCACCATTTGGCTATCAGGCATAGTGAGGCTATGAACATTTATGTGCAAGTATTTGTTTAAATAATTGTTTTTATTTCTCCGGGGTGCATGCCCAGGAGAGGAGAACTGCTGGGTTATATGGCAATTCTGTTTAACTTTCTGAGAAGCAGCCAGACTCTTTCCCATATCTTACATTCCCACCAGCATTGAAGGAAGGTCACAGTTTCTCCACATCTTTGCCAACGCTTGTTATTTTTCCATATTTTTTTGTTATGGCCAACCTAGTGGGGGTGAAGTGCTATCTCATTGTAGTTCTGGCTCTTTCTTTCTTTTCTTTTCTTTTCTTTTCTTTTTTTTTTTTTTTTTTTTTT